AGGATAAAATTAGCCATATCTTCTACACCAGCGAGCCGGGGCGCAAATCCTCTGGAATCCATATCCAGTATATACCGAATAATCATCTCCTCTTCTAACTCAGTCAACTTATGACAATTGGCTTGAGAATCTGGGCGGTAGGTTCGGCCAGCCATTCTGTCGGAAAGAGTCGTATATGGTACATTGTAGATCTTTGCCGCAGAGCGTTTGCTTAGTTTTTTGGACGACCGAATAGCCTCGATAGCTAGAGTAATTCGCGCTTCTTGAGTTTGAATTTCCATGGTAAATAGTTGAAGAAAACGTGTGTTGAAGTTTGAGGAGGTAGTGCCAAGGAAAAGTGATCGACTCGGTGATATGATCGACTCGCTGATAAACCACGTTATGCCTAATAGAGGGGCACTCGGCTAAGTCCCCGTTCGTGGGCCGACCCACCAGGACCGACCGCAGTCCGGCTAGCGAGGCCAGGCGTACTACGGGGTATCGGGCCGACACTAATCGAGTTAATCATGAGTCAATCGATTACTTGGCGAGTTGAGTTGATTAGTGATTTTCACTACTCAAGTTAAGTTGATTAGGTGCCACTAATCAAATCAACTAATCGAATCAAACACGCTGTTTCTTCCTAATCGTTACCAAAATCTTCCTATAGTATTCGAAGGTTAATGTGAGCTACTTTTTACTCTACTATAATATCCCCTTAAAAGTTATTCTATTTCTTCCTAACCGTTACTAAAATCTTCCTATAGTATTCGAAGGTTAATAGAAGCTGCTTTCTGGCATGTTTCGAGTCCTCCTTGTTTCTGAATCCTGTGTGTAACGCTGCCTCTTGCTTTAGACTTTCCAGAAACTTTAGCGTCTGAATGACGTTTTGACGTCTTACTACTTCGCACTATTTTGTTGTTATTACCTTTCTCGGCTATGTCACCTGATCTTTTCCTTTGGTTAGGAACATAAAGATCGAATATTAGGCGTTAGCCTCAAGGAAGGCTCTGGGACAGATTCGATTTCGTCGAAACACTCTAGAGAGTGGTTGCAGCCTTTCGTTCCAAAATTGCTACATATGAACTAATTCTAGTATCGATTGATGGGGATATTGGTGAAATTAATGACTCGATTGCTACGTTCTTCATGAATACGATTTGACCAACTCATCTCCTTCGTCTTCTTTTCCCGCCTGTATTTTCCATCCCAATACCTCTTCTTCCGGGCTTCAAACTTCGCCTTTGCAGCCGTCTTCTTGGCCTGAGCCCTCACCACCTTTATTTCCCTGAGCCTTGCCAGCATAGACCTCTACTAACGCCGCTTGCTCATAGCTTCAACTTGTAGACATGTAGACATGAGCTGCTGGAGACTTCCCATATCCCCCCATAATGGATTTCGGCTGTAAATATCTCCTACGGCGCCGGTAAATAATGATGGTGTCAAATGTGGGTTAAGAATAGGAGGTGTATTGTAGGATATGAGACTATCTATAGTACATGTAGATAAGTAGATATAAGGCGTGATCTAAAATCACTTGTGAGAATTCCGGTATTCACTACGCCTTTCGAGCCGCCATCTTACTCCCTGCCTAGCTCAAGCGATCGTCACCTTGTCTGGCCTCTCGCCTCCTCAATCTCCTTCCACCTAGAACCCCTGATCCCCTTACCCAGATATCAAGGTGAGGGCTTTTTCGGGCTCGGGGGCCCCCACTTATATTGCGGGAACAAGTGCTCGAGTCCTCCATCCTGTACAATTTTTTTGAATTTCATCTCTGCTTCCGCCTTAGCCTCAGCCTTAGCCTTACGCTCCAGACGAGCCTTGGCATACTTCGCTTTCATCTCCTTGAAGCTTGCCATAATTCCCTTTTGCCCTGTCTCGAGACGAGAGCGACGACCGATCTTCGGGCTCGACGGAGCCTTGGACCCCGACTTGTATACTTGCGGGAACATGAACTCGAGTCCGTTCGCCTTCATATGTTTTCTGAANACCGATCTTCGGGCTCGACGGAGCCTTGGACCCCGACTTGTATACTTGCGGGAACATGAACTCGAGTCCGTTCGCCTTCATATGTTTTCTGAATTTCTTCTCTGCTGCCTTAGCCTTACGCTCCCGACGAGCCTCTGCAGCCTTAGCCTTACGCTCCAGACGAGCCTTGGCATACTTCGCTTTCATCTCCTTGAAGCTTGCCATAATTCCCTTTTGCCCTGTCTCGAGACGAGAGCGACGACCGATCTTCGGGCTCGACGGAGCCTTGGACCCCGACTTGTATACTTGCGGGAACATGAACTCGAGTCCGTTCGCCTTCACATGTTTTCTGAATTTCTTCTCTGCTGCCTTAGCCTTACGCTCCAGACGAGCCTTGGCCATCGACTTCGCTTTCACCTCCTTGGAGTCTGCCATAATCCCCTTTTCCAGTATCTCGAGACGAAAGCGACGACCGAGCTTCGGGCTCGACGGAGCCTTGGGCCCCGATGGCATTGTTGAAACAGACGGACGTCCGTATTTCTTTCGCTGCTCCTGGACATGGATCTTGGACATCTTTCGGGTGATCAACTTTGCTGACTGAATCGTGGCACGTTCAGACCCATCTAAGAACCCCTTCTTGCCCCAGCCGCGGGCTCCAAGGGGATGGTGAGGTTCCGCGAGCCCTGCATTCTCGATATTTCTACTCATCTGTTAGTTGACGTAATGAGGAATTGGAGAAGACGGAGAAATCTTACTGAATAGGAAGAGCAGTTATATGTAAAGCGGAACTCAGTAGAAAGATACCGGTTAAGAAATGATTTAACTGCATGTTGATATTAAATAAAGGAGAAAAATATATACTTAAAAAGACGCAACGTGTATAACGAACGGATGAACGAGGGAAAGAACATAATAGAGGGGTGGAAAAAGAAAAACGAGACAAGTCCTCTACTTATATATTAAGTCGGATTTGGACGGATCAGTCTATATTAAGGCCCCGATAACGGCATAAAATTGTGAAATAATGATTCTCACCACTTTTACCTTCTAATTTAAGCGATGCTCGGACTCTACCATCTCTCGAGATTCGAGAAAAGTTTAACGAATTCAAGTATAGAACTCCAAGAGAGGGTAGAGCCTGGGAGAACATTCTTCGGAGATATTGTAAGCTTAGTTTGCAAGGGGATGATTATTATGCCATCGTGTATTACTACTACTCGTAAACCTTAATGTTATCTCAGCTTCAATTTTTCTAAGAAGGCACGTGACATAGAAGTTACCCACGGGCCACGAGGTCCACTTCGTCCCTAAATTTAACCTGTACATACTTGGCACTACGTACCTGGACTTGGCAAGACGTCCTCGACGTCCAACCGTCCCAGCAATCGTTGACTTCTCATTGGATGCAATATCGTAAATGGTGGGCGCACGGTTAGGATTAAGCGAGATAATTTTGTTTAAATCTAGTAAGTTGTAAGGACTAGAAGACTATATAACGAGTAGAAATAGCTCTAATATAAAAATCTAAGTATACATTTACGTGAGTACAGATGTTAGTTATATAAGTATAGAAAAAAGACTTATGATCTTAGTGAAAACTATATTTACTACTTGATCGGTAGAGCGGTAAATTTCTAATTTCCAGACAACAGAAAGGGGGGGTTATCAGCTTCCATTTTGTAGAGTGTTAAGACGTTATCAGAAGTAGTTACTCTAATCACGTCAGCTAATCAGCCAACTAAGAGTCTATTCAGCACTCCTCCCTACCCCTTGAAGATTCACCAATCAATATACTCCTCAACCTGCGGCCTCGCGACCCTAACAAACACCATCTTCGCATTACGCGGAGCCCCATTGAACAATCCGCTAACACGCCACACTCTCCTCTCCCTCGGAATCCTCTCCAGTTCCTCTTCCGCCAATCCTTCCTCTTCAATATCGATGACCTTTCTCGCAACTGAAGCAAGAAAATTGGAATTCCACACGCCTTCTTGGCGATTCGCTTGTTCTAGGGCGGTCAGGGCTTTACGGCGAAGAATTCTGTCACGCGATTTGACGGCGATGAAGAAGAGTGGGAAGAGAACGGAGTTATCGAGGTAGAAAAGTAGTTCTTCTCCCCTTGTTTCTGTTTTTACAGAAGTTGGTTTCGTGATCGGTCTGGAGGTGGAAGGAGGTGTCGAGGCGATGATGTACTCTGCCATTGAGAGCATGACTTCGTATTCATGGGCGAACCCGTCCCAGAACATTTCATCCTCAACCATCAGGGCTGCATCCGTTTGTCGAAGCAAGCCTATTTGTTTCCATTGTAACTCCATTGTGTTTACCGAATTCTGCGTTGGACCATCCAGGTTCCCTTTGCTTTTGAGATAGTTTACCAGAACCCCAAAACTGCGACTCCATATCTCTAGTTCCTCATAGATCAGGTTTTGCATCGCGGCCAAGTTCTTTCTCGCCTCGTCCGGCGGAACATTTGGAGGTGGTGATGTGGCTATGTGTAAAGTTGCGGAGCCCCAGATGTCATCTAGCGCGTTACGAGCATCTTCTAAAGATTCAAATTTTAGATCGTGTGCGAGTTTGGTTTTGGAATGCTCAGAGAGTAAATGGCGGCGACGACCAAAGCTGAGTTGACTGGCTTGGGAATCAAGGCGTTTGAATATATTCCGTAGTGTTGAAACTGGGACATATGATTGAGCAGGAATCGTAAGAGAGTTAGAACTCTGAAGTTCTTTCAGGATCTTGACGCCACCGTTGATGTGCGAGAGTGCGGAATTGAGCTGACATCGAAGCAACTTCAGCAACATAAGTAAGCGACAATTTTTCTCAACGCTTAGCCCGCAGGATACTTCACTCACCTCAAAACAGATAAACAAAATGCAAGTGATCAAGGCAACATCTAGTCTCTTCTTCTCTTTCCTTTTTGGATCACAAAAATGCCCAATGGCTTTAATGTACTGCCCTGTCGCAAACCCCAACCGATTCCCCTCTTCACCTTCCCAACTAATCCTAGATTCGCCCCTCACACAGCCCTCATGGAGAGACCCGAGAGCAACAACAGCATACTTAATAGCAGCCTCATGATGAGCAGCCTGCAAGACATCCCTCGTCCAAAAGTCACTCCTTATCACACACGAAAGCTGAGAAACCGTACATTTAAGGAAGAAATCGAAAGCTCTGCGTTCCTGAGGATTATGAAAGAGATGATAGGGCAGTAAACTGTTGACTGGATCTGCACGTGTACCTGCAGACATAGAGGCAAGCACCATGGTGGGTACTTGCAAGGGGGGAAGACGTGAGGGTGCGTAGCCGTCACAGGCTCGTCCCGAGTGGATGCAGCGTGCGCAGGATGGCTTTTGCTCATCGCATTTTACTCGTCGGATTCTGGAAATTGAGAGGTTTCAATGATTTAGGTTGTACAAAGTTGTGTGGTGATCGTATGATCAAGTTCCAAAAGGGGAGATTGGCGAGAGAAGGAGATGGATGATTGGGGGACTCACTTGCATGTTTTGCAGCCGCTTCGGGATTTGGGTAGGAATGCTCGTTTTCTTTTTGGAGTTTCTATTGTAATTGGATTGTTCTCCATTTCTGCTATCGGCTTTGAACGAGTCTGAATCGAATCTCTTTCATGTGCTTGTCTTGATTCGGTTGTTTTGCTATGCTAAAAGTCCATTGCACGTAGCGTTGACCACTTTTCTGAGAGACAAAAGGGGAAGAACAGTCTATGAAGCGAGAAAGAAGGTATGCATCGGTTTTAAAGCATACCGTGTCAGGCTTGGAAAACTCGTGGAACGGTCCTAGGGCTGATTGCGGCTTTTCCAATGACGAAAGCCCCAGAAAGAAGTCGTAAGAAATACTGTAAGATTCGGCTTGGCCTTGGTGCCTGAGAGAAGGGGATATCACGAGCCGACAAACCGGGGGAAAGAGGCATTTGAGATGTATGAGCAGGTAAGCTTACCAGCTTCGATGGCTACCGATATTGGAGCGCATACCCGTAGCTCAGAGAGAGAAGGGAGACGGGATGCAGTTTATGTATCTGTGCAGACTGTTTTCTCTGACCAACACCACGTCATTGAGCCTTCTGTCGGCCAGTGAAATTCTTGGTCGTACGGTAGGCACATCTCCTTTCTCCCAAAGTTGATATTGACATTCTGTGAATCTGTGGACATATCTCATTTGGTCCTCAAAGTCCTCTTTTGATTTGATTTGATTTATTCATACTCGGTTCCAGCCGCCCGCCGTAGGGCGGCTATGCCGGAGTGGTCCAGCTTCGGCGCAGCTGCCGAAGTACGCTTACCGCATTTGGTAAGCGCACTTCACTTCATCACTATACAGTGACCAGCAGCCTCCTCCCCTGGGCGGTCTGGCTTCTATCTACAACTATATACATAGCGTAAAAGAAGTGCTTTACTTGATCTTTTGACATATATCAGGTTCCTTGGCTGCCGCTTCTGCTAGCCATCTCATGTCCTAATACCTTCAGTCTCCCCCCAGCGTTCCACTTCGTCTCTTTGTACTGTACTACAACTCCTAAATTGCCCAAGGAGTTGCGTCTGTTCCATAAATCTTATTACCTTTGTGGCTGTTTTTGACTCTTTCAAGATTGCCTTCAGGTCTAACCACCTCCTCCCTCCAACTTCCCTCTGTCGTAGGTCTTTGAATTTTCGACATCGTAATACAATATGTCCTACAGTTTGTCGTCCCTCAAAGTCCTCTTCTCTGGCTTGAAGTCGAATAACATTGATCACGTGCAATGTGTTGAGCATCCATGTTCAGCCTTGATGGTTGGTGCCCAGGTAAGACTGGAAGGCTGCGAGGCTGATTGCATTGTGGAAGACGAATGGACATTTGAGTTGATGAGCGCACCGACGCAGCATACTCAATTGCGACGTGCAACAAAACTCTTGAGGTAGCCTAGCTCGAGGCTGTGATTGGTTGAGCCCCTTTGACATGTGAAAAGTTCACGTGAATATCACGTGAATATAGAATCTCCGGAACTCTAGGTAAGCTCCATTCAGATCTCCTATTGGCTTCTTCCCCCCATATCCAAGGATGGAACCCCGCCAAAAGCCCACCTGCACCTGCAGATTGTCCCACCTCGACCTCCATCCCGTGCCTCTCGAGAATACCACCTAAGGAGACCTTGGGACCAAACACAAACTTACTCGTACAGTCTGAGCATCCATTCACTTACTCAACGTCTGATTGAGATACTGCTTCTTCCCTCCTGGAAACTCCCACCACTTCTGTCTCCAATATCAAAAGTTTACCAAACCTCTCAGCTTCTACTTCCTCCCCATTTCCAGGGTTCCCCTGCGTGTCAACACAGCGAGCTCTATTTCTGACAAGAGCTTCATCATGCCTCTTTAATAACGCAGGCTTCTAAAAGCAAAGCTGGAAACATCCAGACCACCACTGTGACCTTGAAACTCCGATCAAGACCAGTCTGTACTTTTATCCATCTTCCCTCTCACGGCCTCAACTGCTGAGGCTTCCCTCGAACCGAATATCCAAAAAAACAAAGAAAGGAACCATGTCTTCCTCCTCGCTCTCCGTTCCGGACCCCAACCTCGATACCGTCTCTCCCAAACGAAAGAGAAGCCCAGCAAACCCTCCTACGCCGCCTCTGTCGTCATCACCAAGATTCCGTGTCAGTACTCCAACGAAAATTGACGAGCCTGAAGAGTCCAGCGAGAGTCGAGGTGGGAGTCCCCGGACAAAGGTGTCAAATCAATTCCAGAGCCTTCAAATAGCAGACGGTGCTGTGTCGAAGCTGAATCTAGAGGGGAAGGAAACAAACCAATTCGGTAGTAAATTCCACATTGCAGGTGACGATGAAATGGGCATGAGGAAGCGATCAAAAACCGAGATACCAGAGACCCCAGATATGCGAACAGCCAAGGCAACAACGCAATCGAACCTCGAAATCCGCCCTTTCATATTATCCGATGGCTTGACACCACAGCTAGTTATACCAGATAGCGAGGCTAAGGAGCGGCGGACGGAGATGGATCCAGTCATATTCAAGTCAGGAAGCCCACTGGGAAAACTGAAGGGGGCTGGATTGAAAAGAGCATATCCAAGCATCAATAGACTGTCCGATTCTAAATCTAGAAGCCGAAAATCTGGACGCGCAGGAACCCCTCCTCTACAAGCATCCAAGGCAGATAATCTGGACCCAGAGGAGTTGCCTACGATTGTGGATCCCGAACGAGCAGCTCTGACCTGGCATGATGACGAAATTACGGGCCATGACCCCTCGGATCCAGAGGACGACGGAGAGGGGATTAATGGGATTGGATTCAAGCCTACAGTACAGGAGGCACATGCCAGAGCGCAAAAACGAAAGGCCCAAATGGCGGAATACAAAACGCGCGAGGCTAAGGAAGCAAGAGCTCGTCGAAATGAGAGACGCAGGGGAAGCGAAAGAACTGAGCGCGAAGAAGCCAAAGAGCGAGCCAGGAGAGTAAGATTTTTGGAAGCTGAGAAGAACGGTGTTGTCTTGTTCAGTTGAGGGCATACACAAGGGCATTACGGCGTTTTAGAGACTATATGGATACTCCGGGTTAGGTTGCTTGGCAAAGCACTGGCGTCAGGATTTCTTATTGGGATATTCCCCAAGTGCGTTGAGAATTGAGGGTTGTATGAATTGGCATGGTGTTTTCGCAGATTTGACGAGCCATACGGTGAGAAACATTTTATGGGGTTTCTAACATGGCGGTTGTATATTCCTTACTTTCTAACAAACTCACTTTCACTATCAAAAAGTGACATCCCTTGATTTACAGCATCGGTACGCGATGAGTTTGGGGTTCATTTCCAGGAAGCTCCTCAGCAGTACCAGAAGGTTAGACTAAGCCATAAGAACCAAATCCTGGCCATAGCTACAATATAGACTTGAATGGCCATGAACTCCTACTGTATCTTGCTAATAATGAGTTTCGCCTATATCGTTAACCAGGATTTTCCATGGGTCAACCAGTACATCTGTGGCGTCCCAGAAAGGTGCTCATACAAACGGTGCTCATACAAACAATCTAGTATAATCCTCTCGCCTAGATGGTGATTTTTTCTTCGTTCCTCGGATCCCCTGAGACTCTCATACTGAGATTGTCATACAAATGAAGCTGGACCTCAAAAAATCCGATTCAGGTATAATTTACAACCGAGTCCAAAATAATACATCATAATACAATCATCGTTGCCTCCCAATCTCTGTTGCCTTCAATTACCAAAACTTCCAACTACTTCTTTTCGCCGCCTCTTCGGCTTTCTTATCCAATTCTTCCTTCAACCTCCTTCTCTCGTCTCTTTTTAATTTTGCTTCCGCTTCTTTCTCGCTCTTCTTTCGGTCGATAATTTCGACAGCCCGTTTCATATATGCTTTCTCTAGCGTTCGACGGTATTGGCAGAATTCGTGGCTGCCGAGTGATACAAGGACGAATGTACCAACCGCCCAATTGGTGATTTTAGATACTGGTGCTAAACTCATACATCAGCTTTTGATTCCATTGAACCACACCATTACAGATCCCCCCCTCCCCCAAAAAAGACCAGGTATTTCAAAATGTAGAGAATGAGGAGACATACACCCCCAAACAACTCGAATCGCCCCCATCCCAAACGCCCCGCCCATGCCCGTTAACAAACTCTCTCGTACACATGGGTACAAATGCACCTTTTTGAAATCCTCTAGTTGTACCGTCTTCACGGCATCGACTAGCTTTGGGACCTCGGGATTGCTGCCGGCGGTGTTTTGGCCGGAACCTTCCGGGAGGGCATTCGCGGATTTGGGACTGGAGAAGACCTCGTAGACTTTGGGGGGTGTTTGGACGTGGGCTGGTGGTGAGGTTTCGCCTGGCGGGGGACCCCGCGGTGAGGGGGTGGAGGAGTCTCTTGTGTCGCCTGCCATTTTGTTGGAGGATTTTATCTGGGAGTGGTGGAGGGGTTGAGATCTGGTTGTAAAAGTACGAGCGTCAATTGATATGCGGGGAGTGCATTTGTGGGTTGCCGTTTTGGCAGATTGGACAGGGATGCAGGGATGTGCAGAACGGCTTTACGGGAACGCGACGCGGTGGTCTTCTCGACGCGTTTTGGACATACCTGATCCCGCAGAGTTTCTTCCCCAAATCAGACTCAGTGCCCGGAGCAACTACAAAACTACACACGAATAAGCTCTCTACCACGGATACCAGAGTATATTTGAGATTTCGAAAGGCTCAATGCAGTGGTAAAACTCGCAATTCTTTAATTAGGCCTGCGAACCAAAACTTCCCCTCTCCATTTGGGTCCATCCATTCAACCACTACGAATACACAATGCCCGGCCCACGAATGCCCAAAAATGGCTACAGAAAAGCCGGAAAACAAGCCTACCATGGCCCCAAGAAATCAAAGACCTTCACCGCATCCTCAAACCGCAACGAAGCCACCTCCGCAGACGAGAAACGCGAAGCCGTAAAACTAGCCGATACCATCGACGAAGCCCAAGGCTTCCCCCGCTACGATGCCGGGAAAAAGAAGATTGGTTGGCTTGTGAACCTGAAAGCCACCTCCATAGAAGACCCCAAGATACCCGAGGGGAGAGCGGGCTTGGATTGTTATTTTATTGAGGAGGATGGGGGGACGTTTAAGGCGACTTTGGAATATGATCCTTATTTCCTGGTTGCGGTGAAGAGGGGTCATGAGGCGGAGGCGGAAGAGTGGCTCAAGAGAGCTCCTGGGGGAGGCGTGGTGAAGAGTCTGAAGAAGATTGACAAGGAGGATTTGCAGATGCCGAATCATCTCCTGGGCTACAGGAGGACTTTTTTTGAGTTGAGGTTTAGTAACGTTAATGATTTGCTGGCCGCGAGACGAGATATAATGCCGATCGCGGAGAAGAATAAGAAGAATATGAATGCTATGGATACATATGCGGAGGTTGCTAGGTATGTTCTCTTTGGTATGGATTTTGGGAGAAAGGACAGCTCGACTAATTGTTTGGGGCAGCGCAAATGCTGGTTTTGACCTTTTTGACGAAGATAATGATAAACGACTTAATGTTTCTGTTGCGGATGCTAGCGATTTTATTGTGGATATTAGGGAATGGGACGTACCATACCATGTGCGAGTAATGATAGATATGGGTATGACGGTTTACGTGTAAGTTAATAACAGAAACAGGGCTAACAAATACAGATATACGAACGGGGAAGTGGTACTCAGTCGAGGCGAAACACGGAACTACGACGTTTAAATGTTTAGAAGAACGTTTGCAGCGTGCAGATCCTGTGGTAATGGCATACGATATTGAGACGACGAAGTTGCCTCTGAAGTTTCCAGACGCGGCTATTGATCAAATTATGATGATATCGTATATGATTGATGGTCAAGGATTTTTAATCACTAACAGAGAAATTGTCTCAGAAGACATCGAGGATTTTGAGTACACTCCAAAACCGGAATACGATGGTCCTTTTATGATCTTCAATGAGCCAGATGAGAAAGCTGTTATTGAACGATTCTTTTTACATATCAAGGAAGCCAGACCGACTGTGATAGCGACTTACAACGGAGACTTTTTTGATTGGCCATTCGTGGATGCTCGGTCGAGTGTCAATGGAATCGATATGTACCAGGAAATCGGTTGGAGAAAAGGACCAGACGACCAGTATTGTTGCGATTATAGCGCACATATGGACTGTTTTCACTGGGTCAACCGAGACAGTTATCTACCACAAGGAAGTCGTGGTTTGAAAGCTGTGACTACGGCCAAACTGGGATACGATCCCGATGAACTGGATCCCGAACTAATGCTTCGGTTTGCCAGTGAGCGACCACAGACGCTTGCTGAATATTCGGTTTCCGATGCAGTGGCCACATATTATCTATACATGAAATATGTGCATCCCTTTATTTTCTCGCTGTGTACTATTATTCCCCTGGGTCCCGATGCGGTATTACGGAAAGGAACTGGAACCTTGTGTGAGATGTTGCTTATGGTGGAAGCTTACAAGAAGGAAATTGTTTTACCTAATAAGCATCAGGCGCCGAAAGAATCATTCTGGGAGGGCCATCTTTTGGAATCGGAGACATACGTTGGAGGACACGTTGAGAGTATCGAAGCTGGAGTTTTTCGTGCAGATATCCCAGTCAATTTTGCAGTTGATACCACAGCTATTGATGAGCTTCTGGCAGATCTGGATTCTGCTCTTAAGTTCAGTATTACAGTTGAAGAGAAGAAATCGCTTGATGATGTTGTGAATTACGATGAAGTCAAACAACAAATTACCGATCGACTGCTCAGCTTAAAGGAGACAGCGAATCGAAGTGAGAGACCTCTGATTTATCATTTGGATGTGGCATCCATGTACCCAAATATCATGACAACAAATCGATTGCAACCCGACTCTATGATTGAGGAAGCAGACTGCGCTGCTTGCGATTTCAACCGACCAGGGAAGACCTGTGATAGGCGGATGCCTTGGGCTTGGAGAGCGGAGTATCTTCCTGCAGAGCGGGGTGACTACCTCATGATTCGAAATGCTCTCGAGAATGAGAAGTTTCCTGGGAAATGGCCAAATAGCCCAGCCCGGAGTTTCCAGGATCTCTCAACGGACGAACAAGTAGGACTTATTCGAAAGCGTCTTCAAATTTACAGTCAGAAAGTCTTTCACAAGATCCACGAATCGAAGACCATCGAGAGAGAAGCAATTATCTGCCAGAGAGAGAATCCATTCTACATTGATACGGTCAAAGATTTCCGAGACCGACGATATGATTATAAAGGAAAGCAGAAGGTCTGGAAAGGTAAAACTGAAGAGTTGAAGGCTGCTGGTGCAAGTAATGCCGAAGTCGAAAATGCCAAGAAAATGATTGTACTGTTCGATTCGTTGCAATTGGCTCACAAGGTCATTCTGAACTCCTTCTACGGGTATGTCATGAGAAAAGGTTCTCGTTGGTACTCTATGGAAATGGCTGGTGTTACTTGTTTGACTGGAGCTCACATCATTCAAATGGCGCGACAGCTTGTTGAGCGAATTGGCCGTCCTCTGGAACTTGACACTGATGGAATTTGGTGTATGCTTCCCGCCACTTTTCCCGAGAATTATGGTTTCAAGCTCAAGAATGGGAAGAAACTCACTATTTCGTATCCCTGCGTCATGTTGAATCATTTGGTTCATAACAAATTCACCAATCATCAATACCAGACTTTGGTTGACAAGAAGACGTTCAAGTACGAGACTCACAGCGATAACTCCATCTTTTTCGAAGTTGATGGGCCTTATCGAGCTATGATCTTGCCTACCTCAAAGGAAGCCGACAAGAATTTGAAGAAGCGTTATGCTGTGTTCAATGACGATGGCAGTCTTGCAGAACTCAAGGGGTTTGAAGTGAAGCGAAGAGGGGAGCTGAAGCTCATCAAGATTTTTCAAACCCAAATCTTCAAGTTCTTCTTGGAAGGGGAGACGTTGGCAGAAACCTATGCTGCTGTCGCCAAGGTTGCCAACCAATGGTTGGACGTGCTGCACTCGAAAGGTGCCACGCTTGCTGACGAAGAACTCATCGATCTCATTTGTGAGAACAGAAGTATGTCCAAAGCTTTGGAAGAATACGGATCTCAAAAATCGACTTCGATCACGACTGCAAAACGTCTGGCTGATTTCTTGGGAGAGCAGATGGTAAAGGACAAGGGCTTGAACTGCAAGTATATTATTTGCTCAAGACCGAAGAATGCGCCTGTCACTGAGCGTGCCATTCCTGTTGCTATTTTCTCGGCTGAGACCTCGGTTAAGAGATACTTCCTCCGGAAATGGCTTAAAGAAGATCCAACAAATATGGATCCTAGAGCATTACTTGATTGGGACTACTACCTCGAACGTCTAGGATCTGTCATCCAAAAACTCATTACTATCCCCGCTGCGCTCCAAAAGGTCCGAAATCCAGTTCCCAGAGTTGCTCACCCAGATTGGTTGCAACGAAGAATCAATATCAAAGACGACCGAATGAAGCAGAAGAAAATGACGGACATGTTTAAGGGCGCTCCGCTGGAGGAGATCACTAATCTTCAAGATCCCAAAATAGCGGATATGGAGGATTTTGGCACTAAACTTCTCAAACCGAAGACCATTGGCTCTCAGCTCTCGCAGGCCGTTCAAAAATCCTCCAAGAGAAAGTCTCCCGAGCCCGCGGTTGCTGTATCCGTCAATCCATACGCGGCACTTCCAGAAAAGATGCCATCGCCTACCGAAGATTACCTAGGGTTCCTGGAATACCAAAAGCAGAAGTGGAAGATTCAAAAACAGGCACGAATTCGACGTCGCCATTTGTTTGGTGAAACCAGAGCTAGTGCCCAGAATAATATCGGTGCAAATTTTCGCCAGAAGGCGGAGTTGACTTTTAAGAGTACTTGGCAGGTTCTTCAATTGAGAGCTACTGAAAGCCCTGGTGTTGTGAACGCCTTTGTACTCATCGATTCAAAGATTCATACCCTGAAAGTTAAAGTCCCCAGACAGATTTTCTTGAATTTGAAGGGGAAGGAGCTACCAGATATCGAGGTCGACGGTTGTGAAGCTCAGAAGGTCAATCACACGTTACCGAATGGCCACCCTTCAGTGCATCTCTTCAAGCTTACCATGTCTGAGGATCTTTATGTGAACGATGCTCAGAAATTGTCATTGCTGTTCAATCACCCCAGTGTTGAAGGTGTGTATGAGAAGCAGGTGCCGTTAAGTGTGAGAGCAGTTCTTCAACTGGGTAGCTTGTGCACTTTTGATGACACACAACCGGGAGTTTTGGGTAAAGGTTTGGAATCCGGATTCGACCTATCGGGCCTTCGACCTGCTACTTCGAAGCATCCGTATCTATCGAATTCGCCTATGGCGTATCTCTACCTGTATCACGTTATAGCGGGCGATCAACAGGTATTTGCCTTGTTTTCTACAACGGGAGAGCAGGCCCATGTTATCACTCTGCAGAGATCCAAGGACTCAAACCAGGATCTGCCCAATGTCACCAAGATTTATGCCGATTTGTTGGCCCGGAGAGAACAAGAAGCCGAAGGCCAGCCATGGCAAACCTGTTTCGAGTACCAAGACAAGCTTCAATTCCATACCAAGCAAGTCACGACGAGACGGAAGGCTTTGCTAGAAGTTGGAGATCTTGTTAAAAAAATGCGGAACGATGAAAGCAAGCCACTTATGCTTATCATTCAGTCACCACAACGCAAAATGCTTTTGCATGATGTCCCAATGCTTCGAGAGTTTCCAGTCTTGCCTCTCAAGTATGAAGTCGCTGACAGCAATATGCCGCCAATTGGTTGGCAATCCTTCGTTGCAAAAAGAATCGTCAATCACTATTTGAGCCTGGGGTCTTGGATCATGCATCTTACTGAGTTGGCGAGATATGGTGATATACCTCTCTGCAATCTTGAGCGAGATGACCCTCGATTCCTCATCGACATTGCCTATGCTAGACGTCTTCAGAAGAATAATGTTGTTTTGTGGTGGTCTGGTGGTCCAAGACCGGACCATGCTGGGTATGAGCAAGATGATGTGCTAGGGCCGCTGGAGACTGTTCAGATGCCATCTGTCAACAACCCTGGTACATATCCATCAGTTTGTATTGAGCTCGATATCAAGAACTTGGCCATTAACACCATCTTGACTTCTTCCTTGATCAACGAGCTTGAAGGTAGCGACTCCGTATCATTTAACCCTGCTGCACCAGCAAATGACGGGTCGGGCGATGGAGCAAACGTTCTCTATGCAGACAATGCATTTGCAGCTGCAGGCGTCAATGTACTCCGTGAGATGGTCAAAGCCTGGTGGGTAGAGGCAACTAGAGGAAGCAGCATAGCCGATATCATGGTTCAGCATCTTGTCAGATGGGTAGAAAACCCAGCGTCTTTCCTCTACGATCGGTCATTGCACTACTATGTGCAAATGATGTCGCGGAAAGCTTTCCAACAACTGATGACGGATTTCAGAAGAGTTGGCTCGCACGTCGTGTTCGCTAGTTCCAATCGTCTACTACTACAGACGACCAAAGCGGAGGTCGGAAATGCTTATGCATACAGTCAATACATTCTCAAATCCATCAAGGCAAAACCTCTCTTCCACTTCATAGATCTTGAGATCAAGGAGTATTGGGATTATCTTGTTTGGTACGATGAATTTAATTACGGCGGAAAGGCATGTCAAGAAGTTGTCGAGGCTGAGAATCAAACTCTTGATACTGTCATGCATTGGCAACTCAACAAATTCTTACCCACTTCTCTACAACCAATTTTCCACGATTGGGTCGTGGAGTTCATCGAGGTGATGCATAAGCTCAAGAGACCTCAAATGATCAACGGTGTCGAGTCAACACCCCGTGCAACTCAACTTCCCGTGGGCGTCTTGAGTGACGACAAACCAGACAAGATCATCTTAGGAAAAGAGTTCGAGAAGCCTCTCAAGCGCCAAATCGCAGGTCTGATCCGTCGTCAGAAGGACGAGATGCTACACCCTGAACTATCTTCCGACTACGCTTTTCCTCTCCTTCCAGGGTCACATCTCAAACTCACAAACCCTATTCTACAACTCGTCAAATCACTCATGCAAGTCCTCTCCCTCGACAAAAACATCACCCTCGAAGCCCGACTTCTCCGAAAAGAACTCCTCGCCCTCTTCGAAATCCGCGAATTTAGCAACGAAGCCCGCTTCGAGAACCCCTCGGAATCCCTCCGCATCCCCCAAGTCATCTGCGAGAACTGCACCCTGGCGCGCGATCTGGATTTGTGCCGCGACGCGGATCTCATCCCCGACGCCACCACGCCCTCCGACACCGAGTGGAAGTGCACCTTCTGCGACGCCGAGTACAACCGCCTCGAGCTCGAGGAGAAGATGATCGCCTCGGTGCAGGGCCTCGTGGTGGAGTGGCAGACGCAGGATTTGAAGTGTGTCAAGTGTAAGAATGTCAGGGTCAATGATTTTATGGAGCATTGTGCGTGTTCTGGTGCGTGGGGGGTTAGTGGGAAGAGGGGGGATGTGGTGAGGAAGGTGGGGGTTTATGGGAGGGTGGCGCAGTTTTATGGGTTGAGGATGCTTGGGGGGGTTGTGGG